CACACACACACACACACACACACACACACACACACACACACACACACGCAGGTGTGATGGTGCATGCCTTTAATCCTAGCACTCTGGATGCAAAGACAGGTGAATCCCTCTGTGTCCAAGGCTAGCTTGGTCAATGTAGTAAGTTCCAGGTTAGCTAGGGTTACATAGTAAGACTGACTAATTAAATGAACACGAGTTATCTTGGAAAAAAAAAAAAAGGTAGGTTATTTGGTTTTTTTTCCCCCTTGGGTTTTTTCAGAAATCAAGATTTCTCTCTCTCTGTGTCCCTGGCTGTCCTGTGATTCACTTTGTAGACCTGACTATCCTCAAACGTAAGAGATCCACCAGCCTCTGCCTGATGAGTGGGGGGATTAAAGGCTCATGCCACCTCTGTCTGACTAAGTTTTATTTCTTAAAGACTTTTAAGTTTTTGTCTATGTGACTGTATGTGTGTATAGCATGTGTATGTATGCATGTGCCCTGGAGCGCTCATGCTTACTATTGGAAGATTCTGCCATGTAAAACTCACAATCCTCCTTCTACCTCCTGACTGCCAGAGTTAAAAGCCATGTGCCAACATTTCTGGTTTATGGGTTCTGTTTTCTTTTGAGACAGGGTCTCATGTAGCCCAGGGTGGCCTTAAGATGTTATATAGCCAAAGATAAACCTGAATTCCTGATCTTTCTGCCTCCATCTTTCAAATGCTAGAATTACAGATATGCACCATGAAGCCTGGGTGCATTGTTAATTTTTACTCTTTTGGGAAAGGGTCTTGCTTCTGTAGCTGAGGCTAGCTTGGAACTCATTGTGCAGACTAGGTAGTCCTTCAACTCGGGGCAGTCTTCTTGCCTTGGTCTCCTAATCCTTGGGATTACAATATGAGCCACCATACCTGGATCAGTCTTACCCTTTTTAGTTTCCCGTGGAGATTTCAGACCTACACCACTGTGTCTGGCTTTAGTACTATTTTAATAAATCATTTTCTGTTTCCAAAGCATACATCTATCACATGACTGTTAAACATTTTCTTGCTTTTTTGGGGGGCTCAGTTTCCTTAGCTTTCATAATTGTATCTAAAGACATGCACAGTTCTAAGACTTCGTGTCATGTTGGTGTGGCAATGTCAGTCTTGTAATGTTTGATACCTATTGCCAAGCCAATTATCAGTTAACAAACTATATCTAAACAATGTTCATTCACTTCTGCCTTGTATTGCTTTGTTGTTCTTATTTGGTGTTTTGAGATGGTTTCTTTGGGTAGCCCTGACTGTTTTGGACCTTGCTTTGTAGACCAGGCTGGCTTTGAACACAAAGATCCACCTGCCAACATGCACCACCACCAACTGGCACACTATATTGTTTTTTATTAAATTTTATTTTTCTTGAGTCTTGGGGAGGGTACCCATTATGACATCAGAGAAAAGCTTTGGGAGTTGGTTCTTTCCTTCCACCATGTGTGCCCTGGGGATCATACTTGGGTTGTCAGACTCTAACCCAAGTGTCTTTACCCAGTGAGCCATCTCTTCAGCCTGCTATATAATTTTTAAAAAAACCTTTAAAAAAAAAGATTTATGTGAATGAATGTTTTGCCTTGGTGTATGTATACCGTGAGTATGCCTGATACTCATGGAGGCCAGAAGGAATCAGATCTTCTGGAACTGGAGTTCCAGGGGATTGTGGGGTGTCATGTGGATGCTGAGGATCAAACCTGGGTCCTCTGGAAGACCAGCTAGTGTTCTTAACTCATGAGCCAGTTCTCTAGCCACTACTAGGAAATTTTAAGAATACTTACTGATAATACATCTATCACAAGACTAAGAGTTTTGTGTATTTATGTAACAAGGCACTTTACTAAATTATCTTGTTAGCTTTTAAAGTATGTCCCCACTCCTGCTGTCTTGAAGATGGAATCCAAGGACTCAGGGTAAATGCTCTATCAATGAGCTTCACCCATCGTCCCAGCTGGTTTCTTTTCTAAAAGATAAATCATTTTTACTTATGTATATGGGTATGCCTGTGTGAGCTTTGTGCACCACGTAAATTCTGGAACTTGAGTTACAGGTGGTTGTGAGCTTCCTGACATAGCCACTGGGCCACCTCTGCATTGCTAGGCTAGCTGGTTTATAGCTGATGTCCTTTAACCTTTTATTTTTTCTAATTTCAGACATGGCTTAAGGTAGTTTTTCTTTTTTCTTTTTTGAAATAGGGTTCTCCTGTGTAATCCTTGCTATCTTTGAACTCACTCTATAGACCAGGCTGGGCTTGGACTCAGATCTGCCTGCCCCTGCCTCTACCTCCCAAGTACTGGGATTAAAGGCATGTGCCATCAATACCTGGCACGGTTTAAGGTAGTTTTTCAAGTAGTATCTTTAAAATGAACTGCTCTTCAGTTCTCAGATCTCACTTTGGCTGTGCTATTTTTAGCTTCCATAGGAATCAGAATTTTTTTAGGGAAAGGCTTGGGTGGGGAATTGCAGAAGCAGCAAGGAAGGCTAAATGTCTAGTTCTTCCTCATGACTTCCAGGCTTTAGCCAATCCCAGGTCTGAGCTCACACAGATGTGGGGCCTCTTTTACCACACAGAACCTTAGAAACCTTTCATAATGTCAGACCCTTTAGTGAAGCTCGAAACTGCAAAGACAAACATCATTCATACAGTAATTCCCCTGGATTTTCTTTCCAGTTATTAAGCTATCAAATCCACCCAGGAAAAGAGCAGGGGCTATCAGACGGGTCCGTAGTTAAGAGCACTAACTGCTTTTGTAGAGGCTCTCAGTTTGGTTCCCAGCACCCACACAGTGACTCACAACCATCTGTAACTGCTGTTCCATGAGATCAAAGGCCCTCTTCTGACCTCGCCAACCACCAGGAATACTTGTGGTATATAATCATACATGCAGGCACAATATTCATGTAAATGAAATAAAATAAATCTACATTTGGTGTGGTTGCACACACTTTTACTCTCAGTACTGGGGAGCCAGAGAGAGCTCCAGGCCAGTCAGAATTACAAAATGAGACCGGGGGGAGGGGGAGAGGAGGAAGATAAAGATTGTTAGAAAACTACTCTGACTACAGTGAATAAAAAGGAAAAAAACAAAGATGTAACCAGGGAGCCCAATTTAGATGCATTTCAGTACATGTGAGGGACAAAGGGGGTTTGAATAGCAAAAGAGATAGAGAAATATCACTTATGATACTTTTATGAAAACAGAAATGTTAGAGGACTAAAGATGTCCTTCAGATAGAGGAAGCCCTGGGTTTGATTTTCAACTCTGCATAAAACAAGCTGGCTGGTATAGGCTGGTACCAGGTGGAGACAGGAAGATAAGTTCAAGGTCACCTTAGGGCTACACAGCTAGTTCCAGGCCAGTTCATGCTACAGGAGATCCTGTATCAAAACATAAAAACCCTCCAAAACCATGAACTCTCCCTAGACAAGATACACAAATGGCCAATGAGCACATGGAATATGCCCAGAATCACCAATCATTAGAAAAATGAAATCAAAACTACAAAGGGACCCCACCTTGTAACCGTAAGCATTAGACCAGGGTAGAGAGGAATGGGAACCTAATGTACTGTTGGTCAGAATCTAAAGCAAGGAGGCGCTATGAGAGACACTATGGTGTTCCTAACAACAAGGGCCACAGGTTATCACCTGAACCAGCAATTCCACTCCTAGAGCAGATCAAAAGAACCAAAAGTAGTGTAAAACATTTCTGTATTCCCATGTTCACAGCTGCATTATTCATAATAACCAAAAGAAGCCAGTGGCCACTGACAAATGTTTATACATGTATAATATGCACATAAAATGGAAGATTTGTTTAACAAGAGGAAACTCTAACATATTGTAACCTAGATGAACACTGAAGACATTCTGCTAAGGGAAATAAGCTATCTGCAAAAATACCTTCTGCATGATTCCAATCTTATGGGAGACTTATAGTAATCAAATTCAAGGAAAGATGACTAGTTGACAAGGGCTGGGGCTTAGGGCAGTGGAGGGCTGTTTAATGCATATAATAAAAGGGTTTGGGTATACAACAGAATACATTAAACAACAACAAAAAGCATACACTTAAAAATGTTAAATGATACATTTTATGTATTTTACCACAGCTGAAACAAGCAGAAAAAAAGAGATAATAGTTATAATTAGGCCTATGTGTCGTATGATGACTACTCTCCTGTGTTAACTTGGGTTTCCTTAAATTGACCACTTGAGGGGAAGACAACCTACCCTGAATCTGGATCACACCTTTGGTGGGAGCCCACAGAAAGACATGAAAGGAAGCTTCTGCTTTTTGCCTGCTTGCCCTCATTCTTGCTGTTCATCTATCCTGCTGCTGAGGCAATCCTTCATTGGAATTAGAACCAACTTCTTTGGGATTCCAATATAGTATAGACTGAACATTACAAGATTTTTGGCTTTTCTGCCAAGAAACAGCCATTGTGGGACTAGCCACCACAGCCTGTAAGGGCATTCTAATACATACTCTTTATATATATGCACACACACACATATATGTATATACATGTGTGTGTATATGTACACACACACACACACATACATATATATATATATATATATATATATATATATATATATAAATTTATCCTATCAGTTCAGTTCCTGTAGAGAGCCCTGAGTAGTATAGTTTGCAAGTGGTAGGATCTCTACACACACACACACACACACACACACACACACACACACACACGTGTGTGTGTATGTATACATATTTTATCTTATCAGTTCAGTCCCTGTAGAGAGCCCTGAGTAATATAGTTTGCAAGTGGTAGGACCTCATGAAGTAACGTAGGCAAAGGGTGAGAATGTCCAGGTTTACTGGCTCATGGAATCCAAGGAAGGGTTGAACACACCACGGAGGGGATATGGAGCTTCTGCAACAAGTGCAACACGGGCTTGGTGGCTTCCATGACTCTCTCTCAGTTTCTCACCTCTGCTGCCTCTGGTGTCGGCCTCCTTCTCATAGCAGACCAGCTGGCTCCGTACGGCAGGACACATGGCTGCTGACAGCTCCTGTGTTTTACATTTTATGGCTTCCATACTGAAGAGGGATTTTCTCTCAATTTCAGTTCAAAAAATTCTGGGTAAGGACTTGGCCCATCTTGGCCCAGGACCAATGTGGCAAAGGGTATAAGGTCATTTAGGAAATACTACATAATAGAAGTATTTATTGAAACATGAAAAAGAAACAGAATGAGATCTATAGCACAGTATCAATTATGTACATTTACAATACATACACAAAACATTATACATTATGCAAAGATACATGTATATTTAAAAACATATGTCTAGCACATTAAAGCCACTAAGGAGTGATAGAGCATGACTAGGAATTGAAATGAGAAAGGCCTTGTTAACAACATTGTGAACAAATGATTACCTCAGCTCTCTGCTTCTGAAGGGAACAGCAACAGAAGGGGAAATGAAGGAGGGGAAAAAAACAAAACAAAACTTCTGTGTAGTAGTGAGAGGCAGTTTTGAGGAAAAAAAAAAAAAGGATGAGACTGGAGGGACGGCTCAGCTGGTAAAGTCACCTGCTGCCAAGTTTGACAATCTCAGTTCTATTTCCCAGGACCCACATAGTAGAGGAAGAGACCTGACTCCTGTACATTGTCTTCTGACCTCCACATGTGAGCTCACATACAATAAACAGTGTAATTAACATTTTGCTGAGACAGCAGCCCTGGATACCTTAGAACTCATTATATAGACGAGGCTGGCCTTAAACTCAGAGATCCACCTGTCTCTGCCTCCCAAGTGCACACAACCATGTCCACCTCCTTTCTCCTCTTTCTCTTTGTGTGTGTGTATGTGTCTGTGTGTGTTTGTCTGTGTGTAGGTGCCTGAAGAGGCCAGAAGAGGGTATTGTATTCACTAGCAACTGGAGTTACAAGCAGTTGTGAGTCCCCTTCCATGTGCACTGAGAACTGAACTGAAGTCCTCTGGAGAGTAGAAGTGCTCTTAACCCCTGAGCCATCCCTCAAGCCCAATAATTATTATTATTATTACATTTCTAAAGATTATTTTATTCATGGGTGTTCATAGGTGTATGTGTGTGTACACTATTGTGAGTAAACCCTGGTTGAAGGTGTTATCTCTCAGGAGCTATTCACTTTGGCTATAAATTTCTTTTATGGTTTTCCAATAGTCTTTTTCTGGGAACTGGGGCTTATTGATTAAAGCTGCTGGCCAGTGGACCTCAGAGATTCATCTGGCTATATCTCCCTGGAACTTCGATTACAAACCCATGACACCATTCCTAACTTTTTAAGTGGGTGCTGGGGATTGAACTCAGGCTGTTATACTTTTATAGCAAGTACTTTACTGACTGAACATCTCCTTAGCTATTTACTTTAATTAATTAGTTAAGTGTACTGGGAAAGGACCTAGCCTTAAACTAACTACACAGCTGGGGATAACCTTCAATCCCTGATCCTCCTGCCTTGATCTCCCTAGTGCTGTGTTACAGACACGCACCACTGTGTTCAGTCTATGTGATGTCTGGGATCATGTGTACTATATATACCTTATGGTTCTGTGTGTGGCAAAAAATTTATGCTTATGTACATCCCTAGTCTTTAAATTTATTTACTTAACATATATGGATGGTTTGTCTGCATCCAGGACTGTGTACTGCATGTGTGGCTAGCGTTTACAAAAGCCATGAAAATGTTGGATTTCCTCGGACTGGAGTTACAGTTGCAAGCTGCTATGTAGATGCTGGGAATGGAACTTGGGTCCTCTTAAGAGCAGTCAGTGTTCTTAACTGCTGAACTCCAGCACTTAAGCAATTTGTTTGATTTTTTTTTCATTTATTTTTATTTTATGTGTATGAATATTTTGCCTGTATGAATGGAGTGTTTGTATACTGTGTGTTTACCTGGTGCCCTAGATCCAGAGTTCTGGACAGTTATGATCATAAATGTAGGTGCTGGGAATTGAACCCAGGTCTTCTGGAAAAGCACTCAGTACGCTTAACTGCTGAATATTCTATCTAGCCTCTAACTTATTTGTGAGATGAGATCTTGCTATGTTTTTCAGGCTGGGCTTTGAAACAGACCAACTGTTTTCTACTTTTCAACATTTGATGTAAATTCCACCTTTTTTGATGAATTTATATAGAAATTTATATAAGCATACAAAATTTGCCACACATAGAACCATAACATATATATTTCTCTGTAAATAGCCTCTCTCCATCTCTCTTCCTCTCTTCTACCCTCTCCCTCCCTCTTATATATTTTTTGAGACAGAGTCTTAATCTCTAGATCAGGGTGGCTGGATTCAAGCTCACAGAGATCTGCCTGCTTCACTAGTGCTGGGACTAAAGGCATGCATACACCTGGCCAGCTGCCTCCTCTGTCACCTCCTTATTTTCTTTTTTCTTTTAAATTGCATTGTGAGCCATGGCCTTCCTAATCTTCCTAAGGCTTTGAGATTGGATTTCTGTTATGTAGTGCCCTGGGTTGCTGGGATTACAGCCATTTACCACCAAGCTGAGGTCTTTTCCATTGTTTTACTTAGTTCTTCACGAGTACTTTAAATCTAAACATTAAAAATTTCCCTAGTCAATTTAGTAGCTTTCCAGCTGGGTGGTGGCGGCCCATACCTTTAATTCCAGAACTAGGGAGGAAGAGGCAGGAGGATCTCTACGAGTTTCAGGCCAGCCTGGCCTACAGAGTGAGGTCTAGGAAAAACTCTGTCTGAAAATAAAATTAATAGCTTTTCTTCTGTAACGTGCCTGTTGTTCCTCCTCAGTCAGCTGCCAACGTTTAGAATTTGTATTATTAATCTTTTGGACCTGTGTGCCATAATCTCTCATCCTTACGTATTGGGTATTTATTGGGTTTCTCCAAGTTCTGTTTTACTACTTAGAGGCTCTCTGGTCTCATCACTGACAGCGTTGAATTATGTTGGCCATGACTGTCTTAGAGAAGTCTTCTTGTTTAAAATTATTTTTCCTTTTTTAAAAAATGAAAGTTATGGGGCTGGAGAGATTGCTCAGCAGTTAAGAGCAAGTCCATGCTCTTGCAGAGGACAGGAATTCAGTTCCCAGAACCCACATCAGGTGGCTCACAACTGCCTGGAACTCTAGTTCCAGGAAAAATCCAATACCTCTTGGCTTCCGCAGGCACCTGCTCTCGTGTGTATGTATGCATACAAAACCTCACACATATAATTAAAGATAAGACAAGTCTTTAAAAAATGACACAGACTGGAAAATAAATAACTGAATAAATAAATAAAAGTTGGGGCTAGGGATACAACTCATTCAATAGGGTGCTTGTCCAGCATGTTCAATCTCTGGACTCAATCCCCAGCAAAACTTCAACCTGGCACATCAGTATAGATCCACATCTGTAATCCCATCATTTAGGAGATGGAAGCAAGAGTGTTACAAGTTCAAAGTTATCCTTGGCTACATAATGACTTCAAAACCAGTTGGTACAACAGAAAGAAAACAAAATGAAACATCTTCTCGAACTGATGTCTTCAACTGGAAAGTAGATTACTTGCTCCCTTCGCATGTTGGCCTCCAACTGGATATGTAACCAAGGATAACCTTGAATTTCTAATCCTTCCCCTTGTACTTTGCAAGTGCTGGGATTACAGGCTTCTGCCACCTAAACAACCCAGTGCCTGTGGTGCTGGGGATGGTTTTTTATTTTATTTTTATGAGGAAGGGTCTCATGTAATCCAGACTGGCCCGGAATATAGCCAAGGATGACATTAAACTCTCAGTTCCTGATCTTCTTGCTTTTATTTCCCAAGTGTTACCTAAACCCTTTGTATGTACAGCTAGGCTGGCTGGGAACTCTCGTATCTTCTTGCCTTATCATCCAGAGTCATGGGAGTTAGAGATGTTTGATACCATACCCAGCTTCAAGTTAGGGTTAAAAAAAATTCCTGTTGTTAGTGTTTTTAGACAAGTTTTACTATATAGCTCTATTTGGCCTGGAACTCACTATGTAGACTAAGCTGTCTTTGAACTTGAAGAGATTCTCCCGTCTGTGTATTTTCGGTGCTGGGCTTAGGCATGTGCCACCATGTCTGGCTTAAGTTATGCAGACAGAGTCGACTCATGTACTTTGGTTAGCCTTTTTTTTTTTAAAGGTTTATTTTTATTCATATGAGTACATTATAGCTGTCTTCAGACACACCTGAAGAGTACATCAGACCCCATTACAAATGGTTATGAGCCACCATGTGGTTGCTGGGAATTGAACTCAGGACCTCTGGAATAGCAGTCAGTGCTCTTAACTGCTGAGCCATCTCTCCAGCCCACTTTGACTCAATGGTGGAGCACAGCCTTACAGTTTGATCTTCCTCCCAAGTGCTGGAGTTACAGCATGTGCTACCATGCTGCGCTCAAAGCAGTTTTTATATTTCCTATTTCTCTCAAATCTTTTGACAAAGGCTGCCATTTGTTCTGGCCACTCTAATTATACCCATTCATTTGAGCTGTTGAAATATTTCCCAATCATTGTCTTTCTCTTTTGATGGTGAAATATCTGTTACATAACAGGAACTGAATGAGTCCTATCAAGATCAAATATTTTATACTATGATCAAGGCATAACTGGTTACTACTTTTTGAGGGTCTAAAGGTTCAATGGACTGTGGGAGACAGGGAAGGAGCAACAACTGGAGAAAGGCGGCCTTTGGATAGGAAGTTTCTCCACCCCACCGTTTTTCAATAGGAGTTAATGGTCAATGAGGTTAAAGTACCAATCTTCCAGTCTAATTAACTTTTTGTTTCCTTTTTTGCAGACAAGGTCTTTTTTTTTTTTTTTCGAGACAGGGTTTCTCTGTGTAGTCCTGGCTGTCCTGGAAGTCACTCTGTAGACCAGGCTGGCCTCGAACTCAGAAATCCTCCTGCGTCTGTCTCCCAAGTGCTGGGATTAAAGGGACAAGGTCATCTAATATTTTGCCTTGATTAACCTCAAATGTGCTATGTTGCCCAGGCTAGCCTTGAACTTGCAATCCTCCTACGTCAGCCTTTCAAGTACTGTGAATATAGGAATTAACTACCTATACCAGTGTCAGTGAAAATTTAAAGATGTAAAGATGGGAGAATTAACTTGAGTTCTAGAAAGTAATTTAAAAAATTCTCACTGGTAACAGAAATTTCCAGGTCGAATAATTTCCTTCTGTTTTACCTCCACACAACCCCCTCCAGCAAATCTTAGGGATGAACTTTGTCACAGACTTTGATACTCTGGTACAACCGAACGTTACACGGAGCAATTTACTTCTTCCACTCTCTGAGATTCAGTTTCTCAGAAATGAAGATAATAATAACTACTGTTAAAAGACCTTTAGGTTCCACAATCCAGGCCTGCGGTAAGGAGACTTCGGCCTAAAATGATCGGAGGAGGCCGGATTGTAGGATGTCTCTGTCAACCCGCGCCCCAGATCAAAAGCAGTGTCCTCGGTGGTCACTGAAGCAATTTTGGCACCCCTAGACCCGAATGCCCACCTGACGTTGGCGAGTCACACCTGGCAGCGCCTCACCTCACCTCCTGAGCGCTGCGCCGCCACCTCCAAGCCTCAGCGTACCTTTCCAGCGTTACACCTCTGCGCACGCGCACAGGCCGTCTCAGCTGCCTGATCAAACGCTCTGGCAAGGCCCTAGTTGAACGTGCTGAATGCTTTTGCTCCCAGTGCGGCCACCGTCGTTTGGGGAGGGCAGGCAGGAGAGGGCGGGGAAAAGGGTGGGAGTGGGTGAGCGCGCGCCGCCCGTCCGTCGTGGTTTCCTGACTGCGCGCGGCGGTGTCGGAGTCGCCGCAGCTGTAGCAGCCGCCGCGAAGATGGCGGAGGGGTTGGAGCGTGTTCGGATCTCCGCGTCGGAACTGCGAGGGATCCTGGCCACTCTGGCTCCGCAGGCCGGGAGCAGAGGTGAGTTGCGCCGCCCAGCTGCTGGGCCGGGCCTGCCCGCCCCGCCTCCCTCTCCTCTGCCTCCTCCCCGCCCGGTCCGCAGCGCTCCAAGCCCCCGCCCCTTCCCCAACAGCGCGCCCGGGGCCTGCGGCGGCCCCCGGGAGACTGCGAGTCTGGTTCTCAGCTCACTTGGATCCTTGGGGCAGAGCCCAGCGCGAGTTTCAGCCTCCACCCTCTTGCTCAGCGAGGCGCCGTGGTTGTTCTCCTGTGCCCTAACCTCACGCCAGCGCCTGTATTTCAGTCCTGAGGAGACACGAACTAGCTTGGGTGCTAGGGTCCGGTAGAGGCCCCGAGACGTATTGTTCCCCCCCAAAATAGTCTGTGTATGTGTACCTTTCCGTAGTCCTCAGTTCCGAGTCGGAGAGGAGAAGCTGGGGAAATTGAGGAGAAAGGCTTAACAGGCTAAGACTTCCCTTGCTCAATTTACAACCCTCCCACCCCCAAGGCTGGCTTCCAATGCTATGCCACTGGAGGGATCCTGGACCTCAGAGAGCTGACTCTGTTTTGTTTTGGTCTTGGCGTGTGTGGAGGCAGTTGTGATCAGAGAGAATGCTTAATTTGCCAGTCTCCATTCGCATCAAAAAAGCGCGAGAAATATTTTAGTGTCTCGCCTCTCCTTCATTAGCCAGTGTTGATTAGGATGACAGTTACAGTAAATACCTTCTCTAGGATTGTAGCTAGAATTTGTGAGGTTGGTTTTCATTGGCCAACTGAATTGGATTAACCAGGCTGTTTTCTCTCACTGCTCTGGAAAATAGTAGTCACCACCTCTCTTGGCTCCGCCCCAAAACTAAGTTTATAAGTTTACTCAGGCTGCTGAGGTTAAACGGCTTTATCTTGGTTCCCATTTGGTGAAGAAGCTAAACTTTTGCCAAGGCAGCAGTATCTTTTATTTTGTGTTTGTTTTTCTTTTGAAACAGAGTCTCATCTTGTAGCCAAGACTGGCCTTGAATTTACAGTGTAACACAGCCTGGCCTTGAGTTTGGATACTTTTCCTGTCTCAGTCTTCTGAGTGCTGGAATTATATGCATATACTCAACTTTCAAATCAAAAATCTAAAATTTTAGTTTTGCTCCCCCAACAAAAAGTGGGTATAGATACAGGCGTATAAATACTTGTCTATCAGCTTGTTTGCATTTGTATTTACATTATAATTCTGTACTAGCATTTTATATAACTTGAGTACTGGATAATATTCTCACCAGTTCCTGTCATTTATTAACTGTAGGTATTCTTAGTAGTCTCTCCACTGTAAGCAACATATACTTATCAAAAAAAAAAAAGCTGTTTACCACTCAGTGGAGCTTGGAGAGTGGTTTATAAAGCCCACTGTTGTTGTTGTTGTTGTTGTTCTTCTTCTTCTTCTTCTTCTTCCTCCTCCTCCTCCTCCTCCTCCTCCTCTTCCTCCTCCCCTTCCTCTTCTTCTTCCTCTTCCTCTTTCTCTTTTCCTTTGTTTTTGAGACAGGATCTCATATAGTCCAAGTAAGCCTCAAACTCTGTGGCCTTGAACTCTTGATCTTGCTGTCACTTCCCCAGTGCTAGGATTTGTAGGCATGGATTTGACTGGGTTCTGATATTCTTGAGTCCTTTGGTCCTTTGAGAGCATGTCACAATCCGTCCATTGGTGCCTAGGCAAAGCTCCTCTAGTGGAACCTCTTTTTCTTCTTATATTCTGTCATCATAGTAGCAGTTAGTCTCAGTATTCTAATGACATAGTCTAGGCAGTATTTTCTTGAAATGATTCTGTTGGGTGTTGTTAAAGACTTGGTGCGGATGAATGGTGTTGAAGATTGTAAAAGGAATTGTTTACAGTTTGCTTCTGTAGGAGGTATGTGATTGGGGTGTTGGTATCCTAAAGTTGTAGATTTGTTGTGATCAAGTTCACACACTGAAGTTGCACATAGTTTCTCAGAGATATCTTAGGACTGAGGCTTGCTATGCATACCACTCTACTATGTGTCTGTATGTGTAAATATATTTTTACATATGTAATATAGTTAGTAAATAAAGATGTAATATATGATACATATATACCAGTAAATACAATTATGTAATGTTGGGGGTTGCTTCTAGTGGCCTCCTATATGTGAGGCAAATACTGTGCCACTGGGCTCTATTTCCTTCTCCATCCTAATATGGTAAAAGAATTTAGTCACCTAGAAAAATATTACAGACAGGAGGAAATGCTAGCCAGGTGTGATATACACTCTTGCAATCCAGAACTTGGATGGCTGAGGCAGGAGGACTGTGAGTTTGAAGTCTTTTAGGGATATATATGGTGAGAACCTGACTCAAAAAAGAAGGAAGAAAGAAAGAAAGGAAGAAAGGAAGAGGGGTTCAGTGATTAAGAGCACTGACTTCTCTTTCAGAGGTCCTAAGTTCAATCCCAGCAACCATATGGTGACTCACAGCCATCGATAATGGGATCCGATGCCCTCTTCTGGTGTGTCTGAAGACAGCGACAGTATATTCATAGACATAAAAGAAAAGAAAATAAAGAAAGGATGTGTAGACAGAATAATTTAACGGCTGAACATGTTAGAGATTTTTGATTCTGAAATAGTGAAGTAGTTTGGGATCTGAATAGGAATATGACTTAGATACATCAAGAGAATACATCTCCTTCCTGTTTCCATGACTCAAGTACGTGTAACTCAAACACAGTTAAATTCTTAGCCTCACTGCTTACTAAACACATATAACTCCAAATTTCTGCCTTTATAGAAATGTTCTTTCCTGACCACCAGTATTACCATTTGTAAATTGGATTTGTAGTTCTTGCTTATTTTTGTTATTGTTGTTGTTATATAATGAGAATGACAACTTTCCCTCCCTCTCTTCTCCATTATTCTTTTCTTCTGTCACCATAATAGAAAACATGAAGGAACTAAAGGAACCGAGACAGCGCAAAGATAATAGGCGCCCAGATTTGGAAATCTATAAGCCTGGACTTTCTCGACTAAGGAACAGACCTAAAACTAAGGAGGCTTCTGGGAATGAGGAATTTAAGGATGAGGTTGTGAATGACAGAGATTCTTCTGCTGTTGGGAATGATACACAGCTTATTAAAGTTTGCAAGGAATTGGACAGCCAACAGCAAAATGGCCCTATAGATGCAGAAAATAGTCAGGCACAGGAGACTTTCTCAAAGACTGTTGGACTAGAGGACCGAAGTCTAAAAATCATCAAGAGAATCAAGAAACCAGACCTGCAGATCTACCAGCCTGGAAGGCGATTGCAAACTGTTACCAAAGAGTCAGCAGGCAGGACAGATGAAGACGAGCTCCTCAACCAGGTGGAGCAGTTGAGGATGGAGGAGGATGAGTGTAAGGGAGACGTTACAAAAGAAGAAGTTATAAACAAACCGGATAAAACCGAGATAGAAAAGGGCCAAAGTAATGACCGTGTAAGAACTACCAAGGGAGAAAAGGGGAAAAAGATTGAAAAGGGGGAGGGGTCAAAGAAAGTGACTGATGACTCTGTCCAAGGAAAGCCTGGCTCTGTAAAGAGGTACTCTCGGTCAGACAAGCGGAGGAACCGCTGCCGCACTTGCAGTACCAGCTCAGCTGGTAGCAACAACAGTGCGGAGGGAGCTGGCCTGACCGATAATGGATGTCGCCGTCGGCGCCAGGATCGGGCCAAGGAGAGGCCACGACTGAAGAAGCAGGTATCTATGTCCTCGACTGATTCTTTAGATGAGGACAGAGTTGATGAGCCTGATGGATTAGGGTCCAGGAGGAGCTTAGAAAGGAAGAAGCATTTAGAAAGAAATTGGTCTGGCCATGGTGAGGGTGAACAGAAAAGCAATGGTAAAGAAAATCGAGGCACCCTTCGTGTCACTTTTGATGCAGAAACCATGAGTAAAGACTCCCCTGTGGTAAGGTCAGCCAAGGAGAATGTGGATAGAATGAGGTCTGACAAAGCAAGCAGTGGGGGTAAGGGCTCTGAGAAGCAGGAGTTCAGAAACCCGAAACAAGAACTCCGAGATCGGGGTCGTGGTATTCTGATTCTGCCTGCCCATACTGCCCTATCTGTCAGTTCATCCGGTTCTCCAGAGTCTACACCTTTGGGACCTCGACTTTTATTTGGATCTGGTAGTAAGGGATCTCGGAGTTGGGGCCGTGGAGGCACGACTCGCCGACTATGGGATCCAAACAATCCTGATCAGAAGCCTGCTCTGAAAAGCCAGACACCTCAGCTACATTTTTTGGACACTGATGATGAAGTTAGCCCTACATCTTGGGGTGATTCACGTCAGGCCCAAGCATCTTACTATAAATTTCAAAACTCTGACAACCCCTATTATTACCCTCGGACACCAGGCCCTGCCTCTCAGTATCCCTATACAGGCTATAGCCCTCTGCAATATCCAGTGGGCCCTACAAATGGTATGTATCCAGGGCCTTACTACCCAAGCTATCCTGCCCCCTCAGGACAGTATGTATGTAGCCCTCTCCCTGCTAGTACCATGAGTCCTGAGGAAATAGAACAGCACGTGCGGAACATGCAGCAACAGGAGCTCCATAGGCTTCTCCGAGTGGCTGACAACCAGGAACTGCAGCTCAGCAACCTGCTTTCCCGGGACCGCATCAGCACTGAGGGCATGGAGAAGATGGCTCAGCTCAGGTACTGAATGTTCTTTCCTACTGTCTTGCTTAGAGAGAAATGGACAGCTGTAGGGCTCCTGTGGCTGAGGAAGGTAGAGGATTTTTAGGTCAGCCACTGAGTATTACCTGCCTTTCACATGAATCCCTACCCCCAACAACCCCACTTGGGCATGAACCTCAAGTCTGGAGTCTTGTTCATCTTGTATTAAGTGGCCTACCACTAAGCCACACTTGAATCCCCTTTACATTGATTTTTATAAGCAACAGCAGGCAGTTGGGAAAATAAGTTTTAATTCTAGTCTTAAAGCTGAGTATATTTTTTAGCTTAAAGGAAAAAATGTCTCTAAGGGAACATATAATTTCCAGAATGTCAATTTCAGCTTGCACCAAAGAGCTTATCAGCTCTTCAGTGTAGGTGTACACATATAGCAATATGCTATTTTCCTAGACATAAGTATGTTTAGAAGACATTCTGTTATGTAGAATAGGACCCAGTATGAGTAGGACGCCTGGTCATAGTTCAGATTTCTTGTCAGGAAGGGGAGGTGGTTGGTTTGCAGGAGGTTTATATCTTGGGTATAGCCTTCCCTGTGATGTATTGAAGCTAGACTTTACATGAATTTTATTCCAGAACTGAATTACTGCAGCTGTACGAGCGCTGTATTCTCTTAGATATTGAATTCTCTGACAATCAGAATGTAGATCAGATCCTGTGGAAGAATGCTTTCTATCAGGTGATTGAGAAATTCAGGCAGCTTCTCAAGGATCCAAATATTGAGAACCCAGAACAGATTCGGAACAGACTCTTGGAGCTCTTAGATGAGGTAAACATCATTATCATTATCGTTATCATTATCATTATTAATATGTTCTCAGGATAAAGTCTGAATCATTCTTTATTTTGTCTTTTCTACTGGAGATGTTTTAGAACAGAATATTGCCAAAACCTTTATATTTTTTTCTTGCATTTAGACCTGGTCTACCTGTATTACTTCTTTTGAAGTATACTTACAGACAATTGGAGCTACTTTTTTTTTTTTTCCATTGCTCAACTGCTGAACTACATCTCCAGACCCAGAGTTACTTTTGAACTTGAAAACTTTCTGAATGAGAGCAGTAGGGGTGGAAGGAATGAGAGCTGAAAGAGGTGGGGAGTGGTAAATGAATCATATCTTTTAAAACATGGGAGGCTTACTATAAACTGTTGCTGAGATTACTTGATGGCCTCTAGTACCTTTTATATAGACTATCTGGACATTGATAGATTGTTAAAGGGTCATTTGCCCCAGGATCTGGTAAGTAGATGAGAAAAACTGATTGATTCAGTGTTTTTTTTTTTTTTTTCCTTTATAGGGCAGTGACTTCTTTGATAGTTTGCTTCAGAAACTACAGGTTACTTACAAGTTCAAACTGGAGGACTACATGGATGGGCTTGCCATTCGAAGCAAGCCTTTACGGAAAACAGTAAGCTAGTTTCTTTCTTTAGTTTAAATTTATTCATCTAGGTTCAGCTCAGCGGTGCACACCTTTAATCCCAGTACTTGGGAAGCAGAGACAGATCTCTGTGAGTTCAAGGCAAGCCTGGTCTACATAGTGAATTTGAGGACTATTTGGACTATTTGGGAGGACTCAAACAAAAATGTATTCATCTAATTAGTAAATATTTATCTAGTGCCAGTTATGGCCTAGACAGTGTGCTGGGTATTGAGTGAATAATATAGTGTGATAGAGGAACAGATAACAATCATAAGTAGGACACTGTGGTTGGTATATGTCAGTAATCCTGGGTTAGAAGTTCAAGGCCAGCCTTGCTACATAGTTCCAAGCATGTCTGGGCTATATAAAATTCTGTTTGAAAAACAAAAACCAAATTGTAATGTCATATATACTATGATGCATTTCACACTTGTAATCTAAGCACTTGAGAAAATGTAGCAGGAGGATTGCCATGAGTTTGAAACCAGTCTTGGGTACATAGTGAGTTCTAGAGTAGTCTGAACTACAGAGTTGAGATCATGTCTCAAAAGAAAACAAGGAGGCTGGAGAGATGACTTAGTTATTAAGAACACTTGTTGCTCTTAGCAGAAGACCTGGGTTTGGTTCCTAGCATCCACATGACTACTTACAACCACCTGTAACTGCAGTCCCAGGGGATCCAGTGCTGCCATCTGACTTCTGCAGGTACCTGCGTGCAAGTGCTGCACATAAACACGTATGGACAAAACACCAACTCACAAAATAAAACATTTTTTAAAAAAGATTTGTTTTATGTATATGAGTACACTATAGCTGTCTTCAGACACACTAGAAGAGGGCATTGGATTCCATTACAGATGGTTGTGAGTCACCATGTGGTTGCTGGGAATTGAACTCAGGACCTCTGGAAGAGCAGTCAGTGCTCTTAACCACTGAGCCATCTCTCCAGCCCCCAACTTTTTAGTTTTTTAGTTGTTTTGAGACAGAATCTCAATGTATAGATCAGATATCCTGGAATTCATTGTGTAGTTCTGGCTGGTTTTGAAATCCAGATCTGCCTGCCTAAGGCTTCAGAGTGAAGATTATAAGTGTGTACCCCCATGCCTTATGGGGTGATCTTTTGTTTTGATTTTATTATTTTTTAATCTATGGTCTGTCACTGAATATGGAGCTCACCACTTTGGCTAGACTGGATGGCTGGCAAGTTCAGCTAGCCTCCCTGCCTACTACAATAGGCACATGGGGCCAGGCTCAGCTTTTATATGGGTGCTGGGAATCCAAACTCAGATCCTCATGCTTGTGCAGCAAGTATTTTACCTATGGACCATCTCTCCAGCTCCTAGAATAAATATTCTAAAAATTTGGTTTTAGTTTTATTTTATGTATTTTGGCTACATGTATGTCTGTGCACCATGTGTGTGCCTGATTTCCACTGAAGTCAAAACAGGGCATCAGAGTGCCTGGAACTGGAGTTACAGATGACATTGAGCCACCATGTGGGTTCTGGGAACTGAATGAACCCTGCTCTTCTGCAAAAGCAAGAAGTGCTCTTAGCAATTGGGCCATTTTTCCAGTCCCTGTGTATTTTTAAACACAGACAAGGAAACCCAGTTTCAGGCATTCCAAAGGCTTCCTTGAGATTTTAGAGGTTGCGTGACTTACAGTTTTAGAATGTACTTTTCCATTTGTGTGGAATTCAGAGTAGGAATTGCCACTCTCTTTTTTTTTTTTTTTTTTTTTTTTTTTTTTGGTTTTTCGAGACAGGGTTTCTCTGTATAGCCCGGGCTGTCCTGGAACTCACTCTGTAGACCAGGCTGGCCTCGAACTCAGAAATCCGCCTGCCTCTGCCTCCCGAGTGCTGGGATTAAAGGCGTGCGCCACCACCGCCCGGCCGAATTGCCACTCTCTTAAGTACTGTATCATGTTGTTGGCTGTATTTTAAGTGTTCAAGGTTAGGTTGAGAACTTGACTTTTTGAGGTCTGTGTTTTACCTTGTCATTATTTTATTAGATCTCACTCATTTTTTTTCTTTTTTTTTTTTTTGTGTTTCTTGGGTGCTGTACTAACCAGTTGTCTCTTCTGTAGGTGAAATATGCCTTGATCAGTGCTCAGCGAAGTATGATTTGCCAAGGAGATATCTCTAGGTATCGGGAGCAAGCCAATGATACAGCAAACTATGGGAAGGCTCGCAGGTACTTTTTACCTCTCAGCTCATGATGTCTCTTCCCTGTGTGGCAAGGCATGTATCTGGCCAATTGAGCTACCTCTCATAGGCGATTTCTTATAGTTGTCCCTAATTGGTCCCTTTAATCGTGTTTGACCTCGCAAGGGCTACATCTAGTTAACTTTCTAGTCTATGACTTAAGTAGAAGTGCTATGAGGATGGACTGGGAAATAGTTGATAGGAGTTAGCATTTCATTGTGTTTTTCTATTCTAGTTGGTATCTGAAGGCCCAGCACATTGCTCCCAAGAATGGGCGCCCCTATAACCAGTTGGCTTTACTGGCAGTGTATACGGTAAGAAATCCCATGGATAAGGGAGTTATTTCCTAAGCAGTTCCTTATCTTTTGAGCTAAAGTTTGTTTTACTATGTAGCCCAGCTTCAGATTTGTTATTTTTGCTTTAGCCTCCTAAGTGCTGAGATCAAAGGGATGTTGTACCACACCACAAACAAGTTTATTAAGAGACTTGTTTAATTTGTATTATTATATTTGTTTCTTGTTGATTTATTAAATGTGTGAAGATATGCTTGTAGAGATCAGAAGACTTTAAGATCTGCTTCTGTCTTACCATGAAAGTCTCAGAGATTGTACATGCTGAGCCTCTTGCTAGCCTCGGAATTTATTTATTAATTTACTTCTTTATTAATTTATCTGTTTTGTTTGTTTGTTTGGTTGGTTGGTTGGTTTGGGCTTTTTGAAACCAGCTTTTGTGTAGCCCTGGCTATCCTGGAACTCACTCTGTAGACCAAGCTGGCCTTGAACTCAGAGAGATCCCCCTGCCTCTGCCTCCCAAGTGCTTGAATTAAATGTTTGCACTACAATGCCCAGCTTTATTTTTATTCTGTTACTTTTAGAAATATGGAATGATTCATTCTTATACAGGGACCATGCTAATCTTTGTATTGTTCTAATTTTCATGTATGTCTTACCATAATGAGCACTGGATTTATTTATTTCCTCATTTATTATTAGTTTTCTTTTTTTTTTTTTTAAGGCAGGGTTTTACTGTGTAGTCCTGGTTGTTCAGGAACTCATTCCTTAGACCAGGATGGCCTACAGAGATACACCTGCCTTTGCCTCCTGAGCACTGGAATTAAAGGCATGCGCCACTACTGTCCTACACTGGATTTATTTTTAAACAGATTCTTATTTTGTAGCCCAGGCTTACCTTGAAGTTGCATGCCTTTCAAATACTGGGCTGGAAAGCATGCACTATCATATCTAGTTTAAAATAGGGATTTTTTTTTAAATTTTTTATTTTATATATATGAGTGTTTTGCCTTTGTGTGTTTGTGCACTATGTGTGTACAGTGCCCTCAGAGAACAGAAGAAGGTATTAAATATTTTCGGACTGGAGTTACAACTTGTGAGCTGTCACATGGGTGTTGGGAATCGAAGCTTGGGTCCTCTGTAAGAATAGCCCGTACTTTTAATTGATGAACAATCTCTCTAGCCTTATAAATTCAATTTTGATAGCATCAACTCCAGATTGATTTCTTCCTATCCTTGGCCAAAAACCAGCCCTTTCATTCAGTCTTTCATTCTCAAACTCCTTTTGTTGCTCTCTCTTTTTAAAATATACCTGTATTTATGTATGCACATGTGAATGTGTGCCAGCCCCTGTTTGAATATGAGGATCATAGGACAACTTGAAGTATGGTTTCTCTTTTACTACCATGTGGGTTCAAAGGTTCAAACTTCGGTCATTAGGGTTGGTGGCAAGTGTTTTATCCACTGAGCTATCTCTTCAAGCCTTGCTTCTGATACTTTTCAGTGAGTTGTCAGAGGACCCACACTTTGGTTGGCTTACTTCATACCTTCACTCTACTGCGTTTTATTTTCCTAAAGAAATGGCACTCTCCAGCAAACAACAGCTTGTTACTCTACATCTCGTTACCTTTTCTTTTCCTAGGCTGCTCTAGAAAGAAGGTAAGGACTCTTTACTTCCCTCCCTTAAGGGTCTCACTCAGCCTCAGCATTCAGATCTTCTTTCCCCAGATGTCTTTTTTGAGACAGAGTCTCATTGAGTAGCTCTGGCTGGGGGGGTGAGGTGGGGGGGTGCTCTGACTGGCTGAGAACTCAATATATAGACCAGGTTAGCATCAAACTCAAGAGACTGTCTGCCGTCCCAATGCTGGGATTAAAGGCTGAGCCACCATGCTGTGCTTGCCCAGATCTCTTGACACTCCTAACTTTTTGTCTAAAGTGGCTACTTAGCAGATACACTTGAACACACCTCTCTATATTTTACCAACTTCCTTTGAATGTGGTTCTAATCAGGAGAAATAGACCTTGGGAACTGAGAGGGTTCTAGGCCAGAAGCTGAAAGAAGAGAAAAAGATGTGGATGAGGCAGCTATAAAAAATAGCTAATGTGATGATCAGCAAAGAGAAGGGTCAGTCCATATCTCCCATCCTTCTCTGTCCTTCCTCCCTCCCTCTCCTTTCTGTCTAGTTTTCTGTACTTTTCTTTTCTTGACAGGATTTTGCTGTATTGCTTAGGCTGTTAGTTATTTTCCCAAGCCTCTCAAGTGCTGGGATTGCAAGTCATGAACCACTGTACCAGGCTCTTGTATTTGTTTTTGCATTGGCTTTGTTATTGTTGTTAAGGAACAGGGTTTTGCATAACCCAGGCTGGCCATGAACTTGCCATATAGCTGAGGATGACACTAAATCCAGTTTTCTGCCTCTGCTTCCCCAGTGCGGTGATTATAGGCCCATGCCATGCCCATTTTTATCTGGTGCTACAGATCAAACCCAGGGCTTTATGCATGATAGATAAGCACCTACCAACTAAACTGTATCTAACCCCTATGACGGATGCTTAACAGCTTCTAAAATCATTGCCCAAGCAAGCAATATTTGAATTTTTTTTACATTCCCCTTTTGTTCATAATGGAGTTTTTAAAAAGAAACTTTTGCTTATGGATTAAAATAGTTGATTAAATATTAACATTTACTGAAGCTCTTTTTTAACCTATAGAATCATCTTTTAGGGAAAAAAACAACTTGTTCTCCTTTTTTGTTTTCTGGTGATTTAAAAAAAATATTTTGCCTATGTGTATGTGTAGTGCATTTGTGAGTCGTTTGTGTTATGGAGAACAATATCTGGTAGTTAATTCTTTTCCTCCATTTTGTTGAGAAAGGGTCTTTCTTGTTTCTGTAAGCCAATCCACAGGCTTCTGGGTACTTCAGATCATGCCTTCCGTGTCTCACTGTAGAAGTGCTGAAATTAGAGATGCATGTCACTCCATTGTGTTTTTTGTTAAGTTTTAGGGATCAAACACAGGTCATCAAGCTTATGTGACAAGTACTTTTACCTACTGAGCCATTTTATCAACCCCTTTTGGTGTGGGTTCTTGTTTTGTTTTGTTTTGCGGGACAGGTTCTTACTCTGAGCCCAGGCTGGCCTGGAACTGACTGTGGTCTAGGCTGACCTTGATTTGAGGCAGTTCTCCTGCTTCTGTGGTGCTTAGGATTATGGACTTGAGCCTCTGTGCCTAACCCTTTTCTTGTCTATTGGCTACTCTTTTCAACTAATACCCCTTCTGTTTTCATAAATTATTTTTGTTTTGTCTTTGTGATGCATTGAGTTTCTTTAGAGTTGTTTACAAGAACATGGCTATCTTACAAATGTCTAATCTGAAAAAAATCTCCAACTAATAGCTGCATCCTTGAGGAAGGCCTTATAAATGCTAGGACATGGCTGGAGAGATGTCTCAGCGGGTAAGAACACTAGCTGGTCTTCCATAAGTCCTGAGTTCAATTCCCACCAACCACATGGTGGCTCACAACCATCTGTAACGGGATCAGATGCCTTCTTCTGGTGTGTCTGAAGACAGCTACAGTGTATTCATATAAATAAAATAAATAAATTAAAAAAAAATAAATGGTAGAACAGCATTTTTCCATTAAACTATGTGTACCTAATCCTTTAAATACATTAGCACATAAAATCCTTTTTTATGTGGTCATTGGCCATTTACATTTTATTAAGAGAAATGTCTATTGAAATAATTTGTCATCTGAAAATTGAGTTACTAGGCTGGAAAGATGGCTCAGTGGCTAAGAGCACTGACTACTTTTCTATAAGACCCAGGTTCAGTTCCCAGACCCATAGCAGCTCAGAGCTATCTGCAATTACAGTTCCAGAGAATCAGAAGCCCTCTTATGTCATTTGTAGGTACCAGGCACACACATGGTTATACAGGTAAATATGCAGGCAAAACACTCATCACATAAAATAAAACAATAAAAATTGAGTTACCTTTTTTCTTGAGCTGTATGAGTTCTTCAGATAGTCTAGGTACTAGACATTAATAATGAGAAGCAACCAAAGGGAAGACGGGCTTATTTTAACTCATAGTTTGAGGGTATAGCCCAGAGAAGATATGGCAGGAGCTGCTTACATCGTACTCCCAGTCAGGGGACAAAGGGGAATGAATGCTGGTACTTTGCTGGCTTGCTCCTTTTTACATTCAGTTTGAGGACACATTTACCCCCTTCCACAGAATGTTGTCACCCACATATAGGCTGGTTCTTATCTCAGTTAAATGTGGCAGGAAGCATCCTCACAGATGTAACCAGAGGTTAGTCCAAATCCCATCAAGTTGATAATCAAGAGTAACCATTACTGTGTCCTTTCAGGACCTTGCATGGGTGCTCTTTTACAGAGCTACATTTTCATTGTTAAAGGCACTGTACTATTTCCTTATACTATTGTTAGTACTTTTTGTAGGCAGGGCAGCGTTTGAGACAGGGCCTCATGTAACCCAGTTAGCCTGGAACTTAGCATTTAACTAAGGATGCTTTTGAATGATTTATCCTACTGTCTCCCTTCCCAGGTTTGAGATTACAAGGGTCTTACCATAGGCTGAAAACTAAGTGATGCATGGCTTTATTTCTAAATTGTCAGCTCTCTCTCTCCAGTGCTCCATGTTTGCTTTATGCCAGTACAACTCCTTTATCTGTTGTAGGTCTGATAAAAGTATGAAAATGTTAGCCTTCTATCTCTTCTTTTTCTAGATTGTTTTCACTGTGTGGAGTCCCTTAGAGTTTTGTATGGGTTTTAGGACTAGCTTTTTGTATTTGTATTTAATTTGTGTTTGTACTGTAGCAGTCATTGGAATTTTGGTTAAGTAATGAACTTGTAGGTTTCTTTGGAAGCTCTTTTATCTTTTTTTTTAAATTTTTTTTTAATTTTTTTTTTAATTTTTTTTTTTATTTTTGGTTTTTTGAGACAGGGTTTCTCTGTGTAGCCCTGGCTGTCCTGGAACTCACTCTGTAGACCAGGCTGGCCCCGAACTCAGAGATCCGCCTGTCTCTGCCCCCCAAGCGCTGGGATTAAAGGCGTGCGCCACCACCGCCTGGCGCTCTTTTATCTTTTAACAGCCTAACAAGATGCATCTTTGTTTACTTAGGTCTTTAAAATTGTTTAGCACTGTTTTTTAGTGTTCTTTAGAGCATAATTATTAGCTTTCCTTGGTTAAATTTACTCCTAAACAGATTATTTTTCTTGGTACTGTTGATTAAAAAAATGTGCCTTCACTTCTTTCTGGATTACTTGCTGCTCAAGTAAACTTCATGGAGGAAGTTTGCCACACTTCCTCCATGGGTTTTACCATTCTGGTCAAATTGTTATTTTTCTTTTAGAGATTTGGGACCCAGATTAGTGAGTGCTTCCTTTCAGTTTTTCCTTCCTTTGTCTCTTAACATTTTTCAACTTTTCTATCTCCTCCAATAAATCATTCAATGAACTTCATGTGTTGAGAACATGCTTGTGTGTAATGGTTTTCAGGGTTCTGTGAGTGAAAACATAGATGATGTGGTTTCTTCCTTAAAACAAACTTCATTTATTGTTAGATACACAATTATTTTGTGTTAAACTTTAAAAAAATGCTGCAAATTAAGATACATTTGGCAAGAGACAGGAGAGATGATCTTGAGCAGTGGCTCAACCTTCCTAATGCTGTGATCCTTTAATACAGTTCCCCATGTTGTAGTGAACCTCCCAGCCATAAAATTATTTTCAGTGGTATTTCATAACTAATTTTGCTACTGTTATGAATTATAATGTAAATATCTGGTATGCAGGATATCTGATATGCAACCCCTGTGAAATGGTCCTTCAACCCCAAAAGGGGTTGTAACCCAAAGGCTGAGAGCTGCTGGCCTAGCGGTTAAGAAATTTTGCTGCTCTTGTAGATCAGGATTGGTTCTCAGCATTCATCTGGTGGTTTCTAACCTGCTGTTACTCAAGTTCCAGAGGTTCTGACACCCTCTTCTGCCCTTTGCTGTTACTGTGTTCATGTACATTATCCTTCACACTTGTATCCTTCATCATTCTCCAACACACATGTATATGAATAATTAAAAGGAAAGAAAATAAAGTAAATATGGCTCAATGATAGCTTTTTTTTGAGATAAGATTTTGTTTACTTGTTTGTTTGTTTTCGGGGCAGGGTTTCTCTGTGTAGCCTTGGCTGTCTTGGAACCAGGCTCTCTAGAACAGGTTAGCTTTGACTCAGAGATCTAAATATGTCTGCCTCCCTAGTGCTGGGATTAAAGGTGTTGCCACCATAGCCCTGTAAGACGATCTTGTGTAGCCCAAGCTAGTCTTGAACTTTCTATGTAGTCATGGATGATCCTGAATGATTCTGATCTTCTCAAATTCTTGGCTCTCGGTCTCTACTTTCAACCACAGTGGTAGATACTGATTTCAAGTTGTATCTCAGTTTTAGAAATGCTTAAATGTAAAAAGTAGAGTTGATAAAATAGTTTGAAATTAAGTGAGTTGGTGTAAGTAGAGATTAGTTTGAATTGGTATGATACTAAAAATATCTAAATATAATTGTGTTTCAGATGTGCTGGCTATCTGTATGAATTTTGGAACTTTATATTCACAGGAATCACATGTGCAAATATTAGCATTTTGCAAATAAGTAGACCTCTCTTGGTAAACCATATTTAATAAATATGGAACCAAATTCAAACTCAGACATTTGACCTTAAAACCTGGGCCAATAGCCACGCTAGATAAATGTTAGATTAAAAACTTCGAAAATAAGGAGATGCTGAGAGAAAAGATTTTTTTTTAATGTTTTGAGACATTAATGGGGAATGGTGAAAATGTATATGATGTAGGAGAGACACTACAATGGTCTGATACTTTCCTTTGTGCTTTCATTGTTGTCAGCCTGTTTGCCTGTCTGCATATCTTCCTTCCATCCGTCTATCTGTCTGTCTGTCTGCCCCTCTTCCTGCCTTCCTCCCATGTGGAACTGAATCCAGAAACTCTTTGTTTTGAGCTACACTTTGAGCCACTCCCACTGCCTTTTCTCTGAAGTGTGTATGCTCTGGTTATACCTGGACTTAAGCAGTCCTCCCATTTCTGCATCTATAGTGGCTGGGATATAGGTCCATGCTACTATTCTCAGCCTCCTTTAGTCTTTTTTTTTTTTTTTTTTTTTTTGTCTCTACATAGATAGCTCTAGCCTGTCCTGGAATTTGTTGTATAGGCTAGGCTGGTCTCAGTTCACAGAAATCCGCCTGTCTCTGCTAAGATTAAAAGCATATGCCACTCTACTTGGCATTTTACTTTATTTTTTTCCTTATAAAATAATCACAAAATGTTAATATGATAAATTTATTTAATAATTTCTACAGAATATTCAGTATACCTAAACTGTAAACAATTGGCCTCATTAAATACAGCTAAGCTCAAGGCAAGTGATCATTATCACATTATAAGTAATAGATACTATCTCTAAATCTAAAGATACTCTTCAAGGATCCTAGTATTCCTGTATTAAAAGTGAGCATGGGCCAGCAGAGTGGCTCCACAGGTAACAGCTTACCTGCAAACCTGACTACCTAAATTCAGTCCTTGGGACCAATGTGGTGGAAGGATAGAACTGACTCCTGAAAACTGTCTCTGACCTCTACACATATGCTGAGGCGTGTACTTGTGGCTGGGATCTTAGGAAAATTGTTACCTAGCTTTTCTAAAGTCTCAGTCAAATCCTGAATGAGCTAGTGTTTGAATCTGCATCTGTCTAGCTCAGAATTTCATTATAGCATACTGAATAATGACAGTAGCCAATGTGAAGAGGATTGAATATTCTCTAAAAACAAAACATAATTGCTGTTTATATTTTAAGGGATTTCTTTGTTCATTTTTCTTCCATATGAATATATTAAAGCACCTCTGCATATAAGATAAAGAACCATGCTGGTCAAGAAAAACTCATGGGTGTGATTACCTTGACTTTTCGAGTGGATTGCATTCTGGTTCTTGCTGGAATTTCTTACAGTTGGAGGGATAGGGCAGGAGAGATAATACTGTTTCTTGTATCATCTGGGTATTCTGGTGTCAAAGAAAGCTTAGCTTGGCCAGGTGGTACAAATGGATATCCAGCTATCCAGGTGGGGAGGGGAAGCTTAGACAGTAGGGTCACAAGTTCAAGGCCTGCTTGGATTACAGAAGTTTAGGTAGGTACCAGATTGAGTAGGTTAGTGAGATCCTACCTCAAAGTATACTTTTTAAAAAAAAACTGGGGCTATAGTTCAGTGGTAGGGCATATGCATTGTATGTGCAAGTCCCTAAGTTCAATCACCAGTACTTTTTTATAAAAGAGAGGAACAAACAAACAAACAAACAAACAAAACAATCAGTTGACCAAGTATATTTGACTTCTTTCTACAGAGGAGGAAGCTTGATGCTGTATATTACTATATGCGCAGTTTAGCAGCCAGCAACCCTATCCTGACTGCCAAGGAGAGTCTCATGAGTTTATTTGAAGAGACTAAACGAAAGGTAAGTAAGAGTGCACGTGGGCCTATTCTTCCTAGGAGAATGCATGTCTTCTGGTCTGAAGTGTGTGAGGAGATGACAAAGCACATCTTTACATAGACCCTCTGGGCTTCACTGATAGATTGTCAGTTAGCCCCTGCAAAGAACAGATATTAAAATCGACCTTCAGGAGGGCTTTCAGGGCCTTTAGAGTGTACCTGTTCCATGGCATCTAGTTCACAGAATTAGTGAAATCTATATGGCAGCAGAGATGGTGTCTGCCACTTTGGTACGGTGGCAGAAGCCTTAGACTTTTACAGTCTTAGGACTGTAGACACAGATGATAGAAGGGTTTTCCATTAGCTGACTAGGAGAGTCTGAGCTTGTGTGTTTGTTGTATAGGCGGAACAGATGGAAAAGAAGCAGCATGAGGAATTTGATCTGAGCCCTGATCAGTGGCGTAAAGGAAAGAAGTCTACTTTCCGGCATATTGGGGATGACACTACTCGCCTGGAGATCTGGATTCATCCATCACATTCTCGGTCCTCCCAGGGCACAGAGTCTGGGAAGGATTCTGAGCAGGAGAATGGTCTGGGCAGCCTGAGTCCCAGTGATGTAAGTTCCCGAAAACAATGTGATGTAGTGAGCCAGACTAGCTCAGCAAGTCTGGCTGCTCCAGGTCATGTAATTCTGTGCAAGCTGGGGCTGAGGCATAGACAGGTTCCAGCTTTAAGATATTTATCGATTTAAAGAAAAAGGATCTTATTTTGTATACCAGGCTGGCCTGGAACTCACTATGTAACCCAGACTGGTCTCTAACTTGTGACAATCCTCTTATCGGACTTGCTCATATAGGGGTGAGCCACAATGATTAGCACCCCCCCATTTATTCTGGAGAATACTACCTACTAACTATAGGTTGGTTCCCTTCTGCCTCCTTGGTTCTCACAGATCCCTTTATCTTTAGCATGTGCTTCCCCTACTCACCACTATGTGGCACTGTAGAATTTAGTAAATGTGGAATTAGAAATTGTTTTGCTGCTTTGAGTTGAGCATCACCAATTTGTATGAGAATTTGCTGAGATTTATACTTCACTGAGATAATGTACTTAATCTTGGATGGCCTTCTATTTGGAGTATGAACTAAAGCATCATGGATAGGCTGGTTAGTCTGTTTTGTTATCAACCATTATTTATTTAGTTAGTTATTTATTTAGATTTGTTTAATTTTTATATGTGAAAGTTTTACTTGCATTATGTATATTATTATGCACTACATGAGAGTCTGGTGCCAGAGGAGGTAAGATAGGGTCAGATCTCCTGTATCTGGACTTAAAGAGGTTTTTGAGCCATCGTGTGGGTTCTGGGAACTGCAAGAATAGCCACTTCTCTTACCACTGAGCCATCTCACCATCCCTAAGCCTTTTATGAGGTAACCTCTTATGGTTTAGAATGTGCCAGGCTAACAATTCAGAAAATAACATCTTTCCTTGTTTTCAAAGTAGCATTCTAATAGAATGAGCAGTTAGTTAGTTAGGCTTAAATGTAATAGATTTTGTTTAGGGATATTTACCTGATTTTCTGTGAGCACAGTAGTCGTTTGTCTGTTGAAGTGTGAAGAATAGAAGTTACCTAAGGAGGAAGGAAGTAGAATGGTAAAGTACATCCCAGGCAACTGGACTAGCCATCTGCAGATTCCTCAGCTCAAGGAGAAAGAATATGGAGAAAAATTGTTCAGTGAGAGGAATTCAAATTAGTTATAGAAGGATTTGAACCAATAAATAGTTTCAGAGATGGAAAGATATGTGTCCAAAGAGCTTGCTTAGATGAGGGGAGCTCAGAGAGAAGAGAGAGTCAAGAGTAGCACCTAGGTTTCTAGTTTAGAAATTGAGGGAGTGGTGCCAGGTAACCACATCTGTAAGCCTTGTACTTGGGTAGCTGAACAGGGGGATTAAAACACAAATACAGGGCTATACTGGGTTACCTAGTAAGTTCTAGGCTAACCTGAGCTATAGTATAAGATCCTCTCAAACAACATTAATAACAAAACCCCTAAGCAAAACAAAATCAAGTAGATGATGGTCAGTTTCTTAGGTGGACTATAATGTAGACAGGTTTTAGGACAGTGATAATGAGTTTAATGTTAGAGCTGTTACAATTTGTCATTGCAGTAAAGATACTCAGATGATAACAGGTGACTGAAACTGAGGAGAGTAGTTTGGATCAAAGAATATTTCTTGTTTGGGGGTGGAGATGGAACCCAAGGTTGTGTGCTTGCTAGGCAAATACTTTCTATTATTAAACTGTATTCCTAGTCTTGAAAAGGACTAATTTTGAAGGCATCTTGCTAGATAATAATGACACCATGAGAATTGTTCCAAGTTGGCCTGATGGCTCAGTGGGTAAAGGTGCTTAGAGCCAAATCTTGCAATTTGAGTTTGATTCCTGGGACCCACATAGTGGAAGGAGAGAACTGAGTCTCATTAGTTGTCTTCTGATCTCTGAATATGTGCCATGGTGTACACTCGTTAATTCTGTTTTTTTTTTTAATTGTTTTTGAGACAGCATTTGATACTGTAGCTCCCTGGCCTCTAACTCATGACAATCCTTCTTGCATCTGACTTCTGGGTATCAAATTACAGGTATGAGTTAATATGTCTAGCCGGGCGGTGGTGGCACATGCCTTTAATCCCAGCACTTGGGAGACAGAGGCAGGCAGATTTCTGAGTTCGAGGCCAGCTTGGTCTACAGTGTGAGTTCCAGGACAGCCAGGGCTATACAGAGAAACCCTGTCTCGAAAAAACCAAAAGGAAAAAAGAAAAGAAAAGAAAACAAAACAAAAAATATATCTAATTCTTTTGGGTTTAATTTAAAATTTCCATTTGTCTTCCTGTTTCCTTCCTATTATTTAGCTGTTTGGTGGATGACTTGGGAAGTAGTAATTGATAATGGAACCACCTACTTCTTGTGTGCCTTGGTGTACAAGGGGGCTCCCTGTTAATGTGTGTTCTAGCAATTTGTTTTGGTTCCTGCAGTTAGAATCCCTCACTGCTGCTTTGGCTGTTTTGGGTATTACAGTTCAAACTGAAAGCCCATTTAACTAACAAATATGTTGTCTTTTGGGTAGGACTATGCTGTTTAATTTTTTACTTTATTTATTATTGTGTCTGTATGTATCCATACATGATATCTGTGAGCCCACATACCATGACCCTTAAATGACAGTCAGGGCAAATTTGTGGACTCAGTTCTCTCTTCCCTCCCAGCCACCCTTAGGTGGGTTCCAGGGATTAAAACCAGGTGTCAGGCTTGCACAGCCAGGGCCTTTACTTGCTGAGCCACCCCACCAGCCCTCAAGTATTTTTAAAATGAAAGCAAAAGACAATTTGAAAAAAGATTTTGTGGCTTTCTTTGATGTTGGCCTCACAATTGGGGAACATATCGTATACAGTTATAACTAATCTTTTATAGAAATATCTTTTCAGTAGTTGTAGTGGCTGGGCATAGAACTTAGTGGTAGAACGCTTACCTACATACACAATCACCTACTTGAAGCTCAGTTCCACCACTGAAAACGAGGAGTAGTAGTTATGCAACTCTGGTTTTATAATGTATGTCTCAGTGAATAAATTTTCAGCAAGTAAGCTGTCACTGATTCTATTACTTTATTAGTTTTTTGTTTTTGTTTTTGGTTTTTTTTTGGTATGAGGTGTATGTATGTGTCTCTGTCTGTGTGCTTGAGTGTACCCAGCAGCCTAAGGAGGTGTCTTTCTAGCATGTTCTGCCTTGTTCCATTGAGGCAGGGTTTCTTGCTGAACCTGGAGCTCATATTATTCATCAAGGCTGATGGCCAGTAAATTCCAGTGAGCCTCTTGTCTCTGCTTCTCGAAGTGCAAGGGTGATAGGCATGTGTGGGATCACGCCTGACGGTTGCATGGATTGCATGCTTGTACAGCAAGTATCTTTAGCCACTGAATCATCTTTCTTGCTCATTTAGAGTGTGCGTGTGCCTGTACCATGGTGCATGTGCAGTCAGAAGAGAAGCTGTGGGAGTCAGTTCTTTTCACCATGTGGTGCCTGGGACTGAATTTGGGTTGCCAGGCTTGGTGGTAAGCATTTTTACCCAGTGAACCATCTCAGTTGCCCTAATTTTATTTAGTTTTCATGTGTGTGCACTCATGCTATGGTTAGCTTGTGGAGGTCATGGGTCAACTTCTAAGAGTTGGTCCTCAATGTCTGCTTTATTGAGGCAGTCTCTCTCTCTTTTCTGCCAACACATAGTATACTCCAGGCTAACTTTTTCAAGGTTCCAGGCATTTCTTCTGCCTTTGTATCCTATGTCATAATACTAGTGCTGGGATTGCAGATGTGCACCACCACATAGGCTTAAATATTTTACATTTTTTATCTATATAATAAATAAATCATGTGTGCCAGATTAGAGAACAGCCTGCATGAGTTAGTTCTCTTCTTCCACTATTAGGTTATAGGAATTCAATTTTTGTTGTCAGGCCTAGCAGCAAGCAGTTTTACCCTCTGAACCATCTTGCCAGCCCAACCTTGAACTTTTGATCCTCCTGTCTCTGCATCTCAAGTGCTGGTACAGGCTACAGATGTGGGCCACCACATCCCATGTTTAAATAGTGCTTGGGATCATACTTGGGGCACTGTACATTTTATAGAGAAGCATTCTGCCAGCTAAGCTATGCTCCCGGCCTTTTATTTTTGTTTTTAGAGTGTCATAGATTAGGTTGACCTCAACTCCCTATGTAGATGAGGATGATCTTCAACTCCTATACATTTTGAGTTGCTGAAATTATAGTCATACACTACCATGTCCAGCTGTAAATTATATTACTAGGGTATGTGGGTGTGTATATGGGTGTTTCTGGGATTGAACCCAGGGATTGTCTTGAGCATGCTAGACAAATATCTGACTACTGAGCTACATCCCAAGGCCCAATTATTTTAATTATTCTAATCTATGAATATATTCCAAAGTAAAAATTTCAAATAACTGCAGGAATATATAGAATAAAATTTGACAGTTGTGTAGCTATTTTTGTGGTTTAGCCTATATATCATCCTCAGTAAACAATTTTTAAAATTCTTTTTTTAAAAGACTTATTTATTTTATTTACATGTGTATACTGTCTATAACTGTCTTCAGACACACTAGAAGAGGGCATCAGATCCCATTACAGATGGTTGTGAGCCACCATGTAGTTTCTGGGAATTGAACTCAGGACTTATGAAAGAGCAGTCAGTGCTCTTAACTGCTGAGCCATCTCTCCAGCTCAAAATTCTTAATTTTTAAAACAATTTACATTCTTGAGCTTTGAACTTTCTTTTTAGACTAGTGCTTTTGAGGAAAGCCTGCAGGTTTGAAGCTGCTCTGTCCACTGTGGAAACCACATGGCTGCTCCTGTCTCCGTCTCAGGCTTCAGTCGGCTTCTCTGTGCTTTCTTACTTATTTTTTTCTTTCCTACAGTAGGTTTCTGAAACTATAGCTTGCTTTTTCTGCTCATAGTGTTACACTTCATAATTAGTTATCTAAGACCAAGATAGTGGAATGACTAAAGCTGATTTGTAACCTTGGAAGCACTGATGCTGGG